ACGACGGACAATGTACCATGACGTCATCACGAAACCCGAGAGCAAGATTATCCGCGCGACGGGCCCGAAACGAAAGCTTGATAATGGCGCTGCAACCCTCCCCTACGGATATAAGACAAAACGACGCGCGCTTCAACCCGACAATTGAAAAACTAAAACGAATGAAAGATACTTTTGATTTTTTAAGCTTGTGTATAGGGATTAGATTATGGATTAGAGTAATTTTTTGTAGAAGTAAACTAAATTTAAGTTTTAATACCAGAAGTAAGTTTTTTTCGTAGATATAAGCTACATGTAAGTTTTCAATCTCATTTTTTTAGATTTAAGCGAATTTTATATTCTTTTAGATGATAATTAGATGTAAGTTTTTAAAAGGAAGTTTTTTGTAAATGTAAATTTTTCTTTTCAAAATAAAAGAGAAAATGTGAACTTTTTTTTGTTTTTTTTAAATCCTTATGCTACAAGGAAGTAAATTTTTCAAGGTTTGTTTTTCAAATAAACAAAAAGAAGCATATATCGTGTTTTTATTCAAAAAACCTAACTCTACAAATACATTTCTTAACATTGAAAACTCAATGCAAATGAACTACAATTGTTTTTTTTTAATTTTGTTTTTTTCCCCGCGACGGGGGGGGGGCACCTCACTCCCACTCCTCGAGGTCCCAGTTGTCCGTACTGCGGTTGAGATGATAGGAGCCCACCGAAAAGGTTGTGGAGGTGTTATAAATCCTCGATGGGTGATTCTACAGAGCTGGTCGCATGCATCTGAAAATTTAAAAAACGAGTGAAATTTGTTTGACAAAAAATCTATGGAAAATGCGACGAATAAGTTTTTCATGAAAACAATCCAGCACGGAAAATTTCTGCGGGAGAGAAAGCGAGAAAAAATTTCTATCATAAAAAATTTCTTTCACAAAAAATTTCGACACTGAAAAATTAAATTAAATTTAAAATTTAAAACACTAAATCGAAAAAAAAACGAGACGAAACCCGAATGGAAAATACATGCAAACTCAATAAGAGACGTTTAAAAACCGAAAAAAATGCACGCATTTTGGAAAAAATTCAACTCAAAATTTGAGGCTGAAAGATTGGATGACACTGGAACAGAAAAATTTGAAAACGAAAAAATCTAACACGGAAAATTTCAACGATAGAAACCGCGAGCAAAAATTTCTTTCACAAAATATTTCTATCAAAAACAATTTCGACGCTGAAAAATTGGACGAAAACCGGAAGAGAAAAATTCAAAAATGAAAAAATGAGACGAAAACCGAATGGAAAATACATGTAAACTCCATAAGAGACGTTTAAAAAACGAAAAAAAATGCAAACATTTTGGAAAAAATTGAACTAAAAAGTTGATGCTGAAAATTTTTAAACAAAAAAAATTGCTTTCTCACAAAAAAATGCACGAGAATCGAACTCTAGAAAATTACCCAGAAAATTATGAACGAGAAAACTATGTGAACATTTTTTTTTATACAAAAAACCGAACAAGAATCTTCACAAAAAATATCACTCAAAATATAAATAAAAACTTACCATCCGGTAGGTTCTCTCCATTTCAGTGATGACTGACCCAACCATTTTCAAACTTTTGTTCTTTTTGTCGAAATGAAAAATCACAGCACTGTACGAAAAACGGTGGAAACTCGTCACTGAAGACTATCCTGAAGAATATGAAGTTGTGAGTATGTCTTCCAAAGATCTCGCAGTTTACATATCTCGAATTGTTTATTCTCTTCCTCTTTATTTTTCTTTTTTCGCCACGATCATTCGTTTTTTCGGCGGTATGTACTTTTCATCCTCTGTGTATTTATCAACATATACACGTATGCGTTTCTGATGAGATCTAGGCTTTCGTTTTTCCCTGTAATTCTCACTTGGTGACCGACCTGCGAAATATTTATCGAACAGTTCGACGTCGTGATCTCTCCAAATTTTATTCATTTTTACTGTCCTAAATATATTTTCACGAATGACTGACAAAAAATAAATCCAAGTCACCCGAATTAAAAAAAAATTCACAGCGATCGGGGCAATATGATAGGAGTGCGAGTAGCATGATAGAGGTGGGGGGGTAATATACATCATATGAAATCTATGGTAGTGGGGGGTCATGTGTGACGCCGACGCCGCAGCACTCCCTACGGTGGGGGTAGTGTGTTGTGCGCATAGGTCTGTTCTGTGTATGGTGGGGGGAATTAAGCGCGCCCCACTCTCATACCTAACGCTATAAAACGCGGCTGCTCGCGGTGTATTTCATCCAGTCGATCCGATTTCGCTCATCAGTTTTTAAACATGGAAAATATCAACGAAAAAGAGTGCAGTGGTGCCGAACAGCAGGTGGTGCTGTCGCCAGTTATACCTCTTAATAAGTCGGAGATGAAACAAATTCGTATTGGTTTGCAAGTGACCTGTCTCGGACAATTTGTTCCTGTGGTGCAGTTTATGGCCGTACGCCCCAACCGTGTCGTGCTGTCAATGTCACGGGAAGAATGGGGCCTTCTGTACAAAGATCTGGATGCCATTACGGACTACTTTGATCCTGAGAAGTTTCACCCAAAAGCCGTCCACAATGTACCTGCTAAGCAATTTGGGGATGTCAAAGTGAGATTCCATCGCAGCTACGATAACCCCTGCGTTGCTTTTGTACGTGCTGATGTAAGGCAACCCCTCATTATGATGAGCCCGAGCATTACAACATTAAAAAACAAAGCGGCATGGATCGATCAGTGGTTAAAATTTTTGGACTCATTGCCTCTCAAACAATACAAGGAGTCTCTGGTGCGGGCGATCACAAGTGTTGCCATGCATTATATGGAATACAACAGGATGCCAGCTACTGAAGAACTCCACTATCGCATACGCAGCAATTTCGAGGAGATTTACCTTCTGGCCAGGGATGACCTCCGTCGTACAATACCTCAGCAGAACGAGGGATATTTGTATCAATTATTTGGTGAAATGTTTCATTTTTGCTTCGATGAGTTGGATGGTTTTGCGGGAGGGGCTTACCGAATGCCCACATACTAAAGACTATATGATAATAATAATCTCTTGTGATTGTAAATAATTTTAAATTGGAACGAAAAAAATATCATTTGTAAGCCTAAAAATGTATTTCATCATTTTACATGAATTAAAGAAAAAGTAATTTGAAAACCTTGTATTATTCATTTACGAAAAACCTTGACATTTTTCAGCTACGTAGAAGTTTCTAGAAAAATATATTCGGCTCCATATCAGCTCGAAAAATTCACCGTCCTCAAAATAAAAGAGAGAGAGAGAGAGAGAGAGAGAGAGAGAGAGAGAGAGAGAGAGAGAACGTATTGTCCGCTCTTTGCGTCATTCATGGTTGCAATCCTTTGTTATCCCTTTAAAAAAAATTCAAAAGCGTAATGTCTCTCCGGAGTCTCAAGGACAGTGGCTCCAATGTCCTGGAGAGCGACATCCGGACCCTTGCCGACGCCGTCCTTCACGGTTGGACCACCAGCAGAGGGGCCCGATTCCCGACACCCGTCCGATATATACTGTCCGACAGTTTTTCTATTTACCCGCCAGCCCTTTTCCACCCACTTTCCACCCGCCACCCCTTTTCCACCCACCACCCACTTACCACCCGCCACTCATTTTCTATCTGGCGGCCATTTTTCACCCACCACCCACTTCCTGTGACCCTCGGACCCCCAACTTTGAGGCCCTGCACCCCAGGGGGCCCCCCAGCCCGCCGACGACCTCTTCAAAGGCATGCCGCCGAGGGGGGAGGGGGGAACGTGCACGTGCACTTCCCGGAAAAAGGGGGGAGGGAGCGTGGAAAATTCGCCAATAATGCCCTCTTACTACTCCCATAATCCAATACACGCCTGCAAAGGAAAGTTCGTATTTTGCTCTTTGATGAGCGGGAGGAAAGTATGAATTTTTCATGCAAGGATGTGAAAAATAGTATGTGCACCACGGATGGATAGACATTCCCGACCAGAGAGTTGGGTGATGCTCGAAAGGATAGAAACAAGACACCCTCGGCCCTCGAGCCTTTGGCCTTTTTTTTCACTTCGGACATCACCCAACCCACTCGTCAGAAATATCTTACTTACCGCCCTTGGTGCGCAACATACTATTACAGTGACAAAATACTATCGACGTCACGGTATTCTTTTCGACATGGTCCTTAAATTTTTTTGAAAAGTTTAAATTGTTATTAGATCTGTTAAGTGACGCAATGTATTTTTAGGTTATGTTGATATTTTTAAACTGATGAATTCTTGTAATTATTTTCTAGAGCTTGATGAAGATTAGATTTTAATCGAAACTTCGTGATATTTGACCATGAGATAGTGTGGTTCTTACTGCGTCCAAAATTCCATGATTCCACCTCATAAGTAATCAGTACTTTCTGCCCGAGGAAGCAACTTTCCACCCTATCTCATCAGAGAACAAAGTACGAACTTTCCGTGCAGGTGTGTGAAAAATATTCTTTTCACCTCCCAACATCTCGCTTGCATTTATCCACTAATGAAGATGGGTGCAGCGTACAAAAATCCGACGAATGCCCCGAAAAGAGAGGATCGAAAGAGTCGGCAGGGGTTCCAGGGGCATTATAGACAGACGTCATATATATTTTATTTATATGTATACAGTATTGCGAGCGCCAGTGAGAAGAACAAGACAGGGGTTGTAGGAGAATAAACGGGGCCGAAGCGTGGTAGCAAGGCGGGGGGTCAGACGGGTTGGATAGACAAGGACGAAACGATAGTTGAGGGAGGGGTTGCGCCCAGACTCCCAACTGGCGAAGAGTTGATGCGCCGAGAGGAAGGGAGGAAAGGGAGGAATGGACGACGTACACCGAACAGTGGAAGGGAGGAATGGAGAATAGAGGGAGATTGAGTGAGTGAGTGAGAGAGACAGAGAAGCAGGTTCACCCTTACTCTGTTGGGTTGGTTTCGTGTAGCTCCGACCCCCTGGCCTTAGTGCGGCCTGAACCGTTTGCCGGCCTACAACGTGCGTGTTGTATCACTCGCTGTGTTCTCTTATTATCTCATTATTTCACCCTCTTTTCCCTATAGATTCCGAGATATTGTCATCAAACGGGTACAAGTACTGTTCAACGCATCTAACGATAAATTATCAAGGGAGTGAATTGGGGGTGTGTATTTATTAGTTGATGATAATTAGTTATTTTATTTGAATTTTGTTGGGGGATATAAAGTGTGATTTGTTATTCTGCCCGTTCATAGAACAGAAGAGAACAGAACAGGACTGAATAACCTAAAAAGGAGAGCAAGATTGATTTGTCAAACGGTGAGCACATGTTGAGAAATATCATATTTCCTGCTGGTTGTATTACAATTACCTATGATTGTGATTCTGTGGGCTTAGGGAGGAGAGAATCAATGTAACACTGGTGTTATTGAGAGCGACATTTACTTGTGCCGGTGTCAGGTGGTGCATGCCATTCGCAGATGTGTGGATGAATTTCTTTGGTATTAACTCAGTGAGGGGGGGGGAGGGGGGAATTAATCAATCCGGTACTGTCAAATGATACGATTCAACAGGAGGATGAATAATCCATGATATTCATTACTTTCCTTGAGGATTCTATTGACTGGTTCAATTTATGACCGAACAATAGGGGTCTATTGAATAGGGGCATTGAAAAGCGATACACTGCATGCTGGCTTTCAGTTTCTCCAATCAACTCATCAAACGTATCCCGCAAATTAATTAAATTGATTTTGAAAATGAGGATTATTGTCATAGGATAAAAGGGAAACTCCACTCGATTGAAGTAGCAAAGTTCTACAGCCGACCATTTGAGTTTGGCGTGGGACGAAGGGGGGAATGAGAAAAACGAATTGTTGAATTGGCCACTTCTGGACGAATTCCACTCAAAGTTTACCAAAAGTTGTTGTCACGTACGAATAAATGCCACTCAAATAACCCCTCTTGAAACAGTAGTGGCACGCAAACCGTGAAGACCAGGAGGGGATAATAAAATGATAATTCAAGTAGGGGGAGGGGTTGGAGGGGAGTAGGAATCATGTACTCGAGTTTAGAGCTATTACGGAATTTGCTAGACAGGAAGTCCGAGACTTGCGCACACATATCAGCCCGACTGACCCATAGAAACTCGTTAACTCCTCATCTTCACCCGCTCCCCTCTCCCATTTCAGTTTTCAAATGTATATAGACCTGTACTGTTGGCCAATGTTGGCTGTGTGTGAGCCGTTTCAACGGACGCACACGGATATAGGTAACGAGAAGTGAGACTTCCGATAACGGTCAACGAGATCATCTCGCCTCGCATTCATCACTGGGCTGAACCAAGAAAAAAAGCTCACATTTCAACCCAAGATCGCTCTGTCATTGATAAGCCGAGTTCAAGTGATTAAAACCGTTGATTCGGACTGAATGAAAGAACCAAAAAAAAATCATTTGTTCATCTCAAAATAATTTTCACTCCTACGACAAATTGATTTAACCTCCGATTATTATTTTTCAATTATTTACGTGGCGATTAAAATAAATTCCAAATGTATTCAGAACATTTCGCGGTCAGTGGAGAATCGAAGTGACGTTTGAGGATCTATATTTGATTCGCAAAATACATTTGAGTTGCTCATAAATGTTCTAAATCAAAAAAATCGCTGGGGGGGAGCTAGAAAAAGTGAAAGAATACGATGAAATGCTGGAGGGAAGGATAAAGAAAGAAAACAGGCAGGCAAACCGCCAAAAATATCCTGTGACCTTTCCAGCCCCCGCCCCTCAACCAACTAGCCCTTCTCTCTCTCGCTCGTTTTTGCGACGCATCCGATGAGGTCTGACGAGAAGGCGACGGTCGATTTGTCCGACTTTCATTACAATTTCTTGTCTCATGCAATTCGCACGTGTATATCGCACTTTAATCCTCAACCCGTTTTTTTTCAATCTTTTCCACATATCATTACAGATAATTACAATCGAGGTCTCACTAACCTGTCATTAATTATTCACAACTAGTCCAACCCCCCTGCCTCCATCTTTCATCCCGCCACCTGGAGCAGTGGTGAAGGGAGAGAGAGAGAGCGAGAGAAAGAGAGAGAGAGAGAGAGAGAGAGAGAGAGAG